CCAAATCTCATAACACCCTTCATGGGTGAAACCTTCAATAGAACTTTCTCCCCAACCACGTAGAACACATCGCGAATCTTCCTGTCGGCAGAACTCTTCTGTCTCGATTGCGCTGTACGAAGCCGCTCCTGGATCACCTTCACCTTGTCCAAAGCATCCTGCACCAAGTCTGTACCCAATAGCCAAGCCTCACCCGGCTCAAACCAACCAACTGGAGATCTACACCTTCTCCCATACAAAGCCTCATAAGGATCCATCTGAATACGCGACTGATAACTGTTGTTATATGCAAACTCTGCGAGCGGTAGAAACTGATCCCATGACCGTACAAAATCAATGACACAAGTGCGCAACATGTCCTCCAATATCTGAATAGTGCGCTCAGACTGCCCGTCCGTCTAAGGGTAAACAGTTGTGCTCAACTCAACCTGAGTACCCAACTCTCGCTGCACGGCCTGCCAAAACTGCAAAGTAAACTGAGTACCTCTATCTGAAATGATGGAAACTGGGACGCCATGCAAGAGAACAATCTCTCGGATATAAATCTCTCCTAACCGCTCTGAAGAATAGGTAGTACACACAGGAATGAAGTGCGCGGACTTGGTCAGCTGATCCACAATCACCCAAATAGCATCGAACTTCTTCAAAGTCCGTGGAAGTCTAACTACAAAATCCATGGTGATCCGCTCCCACTTCCGCTCGGGAATATCCATCTGATGAAGCAATCCACCCGGTCTCTGATGCTCGTATTTCACCTGCTGACAATTGAGACACTACCAACCGGAAAATGCCAAAATTCCAATTTCGCCAATTCAAGCCTAAATCTACCATGGACCTCCAAAATATATTCCGATCACGCTCCTAAGTCCCAAATTACCTAACGAAGCTATCCGAGCCATAAAAACCAAATTTCGAGATCATTTACTCACAAGTCAACTTCCGGTTGACTTTTCCAACTTAAGCTCACCCAAAAGAGACTAAGTGTCTCATTTCTCTACAAAACCACTCCAAACCCGAACCAACCAACCCGATACCATATAATACAACTAAACGACACATAAAGAAGAAGAAATGGGGGAAACGGAGCGGTAACTCAAGAAACGACCGGCCGGGTCGTTACATTCTCCGTGGACCACCCGAAAAATCAGAACACACAATTCAACCCAAAAATTAGAAGCCCAAGTGATTTAATCCCAGAAAGAAATAAAAGCATCAAAACCCAATAAGCCATGGCTCACACCACCATATCACCACCACAACAAGGCCATTCTTAAAATAAAACAAAAAACACAACAATGGCAAAGGTAGATCGAAAATAGAAAAAGAACGGCCTTCTCTGTATAATCCTCGGGTACCATATCTACTGAAGCTTATCTATACCAACAAAGACATAAACTGGCTACTTTCATTTATAGCTCTCTCTCAAAATTTTGTTTGTCATCCCCATGGCTGCTGTCGGCACCACCAACTTTCAGATTAAAATAATTCAACCTCCTCTTCGACGTCAGAAGATAAGAATTCTAAATCTGAAATAGATAACCACAAAATTAAAGAAAAAGCAGATGTGTGCGATAGATGTAGCCGAAATTACTCACAAGAAGAAAAAAAACTATATTAAGAGAAAATTTTGCGAGGCTAGAGAAGGAAAGAGATTGGAAGCCTGAGATTAATGCAAAATATTTATTTAAGAGAAAATCAGAGGTAATGATTTTGAGAAAGAAAAAAAAGAGAAGGAGGGGGCGTTGGTTGGTGGAAGAGAGAGCCAGAGGAAGGGTGGGGAAGAAGAGGGATTTGCTGACATGTGGCATTAAATAAATAATTAGACAGTATTTATATTGGTAGACTCACTTCTACCATGGTATTTTACACATGCTGAGACCTGGTCAAAGGAGGTGTGTATTAGATACACTTTTAAAAGGTTAAGTGTGTAATATTATTTTCGCCCACAGAAAGTATGTAACAGGGATTTTGGTCATAGTTCAGGTGCCAACTCATATATTTTGCCAAATGAAAGGGACACTGACTAAAGAAAAAATGAGAAGTAAAAAACAGGACATTTTAAAGTTAAAAAGAAAAGCAAAAGACTTAAATGGGGCAAGGTAGGGCAGGATTAAGTAGGGCGGGCGGGCAAATTTTGGAAAAATGCAAAATGGGGCAGGGCATGTCGGGTTAATTTTTTAGCAGGTCAAGTTCTGGCCTGCCCCACCCGGCCCCCCCACGCCCCATTAACATCCCTAGGGAGTGTTGGGAAAAAGAGTTTTTAGTCAAAATTAACCCTTTATATTTAAGGGTAGACCTAACATTGTCCTTCAAATGTAATCTTGAGTACCATTTGTCCTCCAAATTTGTAAAACTTGAGCACAAATTGTCCAGCTAATGGAATGGGCAAACAAAAGCTGAAACTAATGAACTAATATCACGTGACTTGCACGTAAAACACAAAAACTCCAAAACCTCGACTCTCATTTCTCCCCTATTAGCACTTTCCGAGAAATACACATATAATGCAGACTGGTGCTTTGTGAATCCTTGTTTGTGGTTTTAGCACGTCCCTCAAGTCCAAGACTATCCCTTTTAGGAGGACCTGGTTTCAACTATTTTTGTGCTGAACTTGTGGCTTGCCAGTTTTCAGAGCTCATCATCGAAGTTGAAGATTTTGACCGTAAGAAATCGCCTATATTTTTCAGTAAATCACCTAAAGTTTGTCTAGAAAGATGATGTTTCCCACTGCCTGAGGCCACATTTGATTGTTAAGACTAGATATGAGAGAATTTTAGCAAGATGAGAGACCGGTTAAAGCATTTATTTAGGGTTTAGGGTTAAAGCTTTTACAAAAGTAATTTGAAAATGTTTCTCTTACATACAAGAGAATTTGAGAAAGATTCACAAATTAAAATTTATAAAAGATAATCAGAAAAAGTATAGGTTCATATAAGAATACTTTAAGAGAACCGAAAAAGTTTGTCAAATGGATATCTAGATTTAAATTTTTTTCGCTTTGAATTTGCTTTTTTATCTCTCAAACCATAATTTTTCTTCCTTTTGCAGCAAAAAAGAGCTTATTGCCATTTTTGTAGTGGTCAAGAATATAAAACTTAGAGTAATAAAACTTGGCATAAAAAGAGAAATACAATGGTGAAAAAATGAATTGGGGAAGAAGTAGGGATGAGCATAGGTTTGGCAAACCCGAAATTCAAATTTCTTTAGATTTTTGGTTTGGATTTTCAAATTACGGATTGAATTTTGGATTTAATTTTTAAAATTTTTGGATTTTGGATTTTAGATTGAATATTGGATTTGGTACTTCAGATTTTTGGATATCCGAAAATCTAAAATTTTTATACTTTATGTCTAGTCCATTATCCATATGCAAATAATAATAAGTTCAATATCCTAACCATTAGATATTATCTCATATATTCAATATTAATGAGTATTAGGCTACTGTCAGAATACTTTCTATTTGGACATGGTTTTACTATTCTACTTCTTATCGGCCGTATTAATGTCTTTGTTGCATTTTCATGATAATAATTTCATTACTTGAATATTTTGTTTGGATGATTGCGGTGAGAATGGGGAACTTTTCAGACAAATTAACATGAATACTTCATTTGGATATTCATTTTTGTAAAAAGAAGAAACATCTCAACTTATAGATCAAAACCGAAAATCTAAAATATACAAACCGATTAATTTGAAATCGAACTTAAAAAATCCGATCCAATCTGAGCTTTTTTGGATTGGATTTGGATTGACATTTCTTCGATCTGAAAATCGAAATCCAAACCAAAATTTTTATATCCAATCCGAACACCCACCCCTAGGAAGAAGTGCTTGCGGGGAGGGAAACAGAACCCGGTGAGGGGTGGCTTTTTTATATTGCACATGCAAGTCACGTGCTATTAATCTGTTAGTTTCAGCCACCATATGTTCCATTTAGTTAGTTGGACCATTTGTACTCAAGTTATGCAAATTTAACGGTCAAATGGTGCTCAAGATTATATTCGAATGATAATGTTGGGTCTACCCTATTAACAATTTTGACTAAAAACTCTTGGGGAAGACAAGCAATTAAGATAAGCGAGAATTTTAATATAGATGCAGGGATATCAAAAGCAGTTCAATGAAAAAGTTATAATTTAAATTAAATTGTATTTATGTAATTTTTTGAAAGTAATTGTATTTATTTTAAATTACTTTTAAAAAGGGGAGAAATTCAAAAATAGCCAGAATTTACAAGTGGTCATTAGTTTCAAAGGTAATCGAAATTTAGCCACTTTTCATGTAAAGATAAATCTGAACGAAAACACTGTTCAAAATTCGAAAAAATATTCCAGCATAATATACTGGAATTTCAGTATAATATACTGGAGTTCCAATATAATATTGTTGGAGTTACCTGATGTTAGTTATTAGATTTGGGCCTGATGTTAGTTAGTTCATTAAGATTTGGCCCAGATGTATTTATTAACAGACCCGATCCAATTTTCTCTCTTAGTTGATTTTCTTTCTGGCCCAATGTAAATAGTAGTTAAGATATTCTTTTGTAATAACTCTTCAGAAGGAATAACGAAAATTCTCTGGAAGTTTCTTCTTTGAACATGAACCCTAGTTTCATTCTTCTCCATTTTCGCTAAATTTAAAAACATTAACATGGTATCAGAGCGGGATTGTGATTACTCTAATCACACGCTTTCGATCGATCCTACCCTTGTGAGTTGATTCAAAGTTTTTCTCCTCCTTCTATCATCTCTGATTTGTGTTCGGTGATCGTTCTTCTGGAGATCGATTTTTTTGTTGAGTTTCCTTGATTTCTGCGGAGTTTCTGCTATTCGTCGTGAACATTTCTGAGCTCGGAGTAGTTGTTTGATTCCTCCTTCTAGGATCTGTTATTTCGATTCACTGAAGAAAGTCGGTAACCCTAATTTCATTTTTTTTAAAATTTCATGCTCAATTTGCTTAATTGACTTGTTTGCCTATATAATTTTAGTGTTAATATGGTGTATTTTAAAGTTCCTCTTGCTACTAGTACTAGTACAACCACCATATATACACCAGACCCTTCTAGCCCTCTTTTCATTCACTCTTCTGATATTCCTAGAACTTGTTTAGTCAGTATTCCATTTAACGGGTCTGGTTATGGTGGATGGAAAAGGAGTATGATAGTTTCTTTATCGGCTAAGAACAAAATAGGTTTTGTGGATGGATCATGTCCTAAGCCAATGCCTAATGAGAATCCTGCGATGGTTTGTCAATGGGACAGATGCAACAATATGGTTATTTCTTGGTTAACTAGCTCTCTTTCACCAACTATTGCTGAGAGTGAACAATACTCGGAGACAGCTGGAAGTATTTGGAAGCAGTTAGAACGTAGGTATGGGACTGTAAATGGAACTAAAACTTTTGAGATAAAAAGGGAATTAGCTTCTACTCAGCAAGGTTCTCTTGATGTTGCTTCATATTTTAACAAATTAAAGAAGCTTTAGGATGAACTTGGAACAATGCGCAAAAATCATGGAAATTCTTGCACTTGTGCTGCAAAGCCTGGTATTCAGAGATGAAGAAGAAGACAAGTTACACCAGTTCCTTATGGGATTAAATGAGGTGTATGTGGGTGTAAGGAGTAACCTACTGATGATGCAACCTCCTCCTTCATTGGACAGTGCTTACAATATTCTTCTTCAAGATGAGGGTCAAAGACAAGTTCAATTCAATCCACAGCTAATACCAGAATCAGCATCTTTCAATGCTAATGTGAATGTCAAACAATAGTTTCCAATCAAAAAATACAATCAAAAGATAGATTCTGATCATTCAAAACGAAGTTTGTTTTGCAAGTATTGCAAAAAACCTAGACATCTCATTGAGAAATGCTACAAACTCCATGGGTTTCCACAAAATTTTAAGTTCACCAAAGGAAAGAAGCTGGCTGCAACAGTATCTGCTGAATCTGCTCAATTTCAGCCATGCACAGGAAGCCATATCTCAGCTCAATCTACTCACAATGCTCCTCTAGTTGGACCTGCTCCTGTATATGATGATAAGGTCCCCTCCATACCTAGTTTGAGTCAGCAACAATTTTCTCAACTTGTCTCCCTGTTGCAGCAAACTCAAATTGGTCATGCTCATGAGCCTCAACCAAATCTGATGGGATCTGCTAACTTTGTTGGTAGTTTTCTTTCCTTACCTGTTTATACTGATGATGATTCTCATGCTTGCATGCTGTCTAGTGTAAGTAGAGATGTGTGGATTATAGATAGTGGAGCTACTGATCATATGACTTCTAACAAAGAACTTCTTTCTAATCTGACTCCACTTCCTACTCCTTACTTGGTAACTTTACCTAATGGTTATAAGGCAAAGGTTACTTGTATTGGTTTCAGTACTTTACTTCCTTCTCTCACTCTTCATCATGTCCTGTACATTCCTTCTTTTCAATATAATCTGATTTTTGTCCACAAGCTTATTCAACAATTTCACTGTCTTGTCTTGTTTACCTCTATCTCATGTATTTTGATACAGGACCTTTCCATGAGGAAGCTTATGGAACTTGGTAAAGTGGACCAAGGACTCTACAAGCTTCTTCATGATAATCAACCCAATGCAACATCTAACTTTCCTGCTTCTGTTTTTAGAAATAATGTGCAAGATGTTTCTTTTTCTGACCAGTCTAGTAAGATTGCACATAATAAGGCTGCTTTACATACTATTTCTGTTGTTCCTTGTAATGATAAGCAGAGCATAAATAAAAATGATGTTCTTTGGCATCACAGATTAGGACATATTCCATTTTCTACAATGAAAACCATCCCTTCTATTTCTGCTCAATTATCTGCCAAACAATCCTTTATATGTCATGTTTGTCCTTTTGCTAGGCAGGCAAGATTACCCTTTCCAGCTAGTTCTACTATTTCTACTTCCTTATTTGAGTTGATTCATGTTGACACATGTGGTCCCTATCATACTCAGACTTATTCTGGAGCAAAATACTTTCTTACCATTGTGGATGATCATAGTAGAGCTACTTGGACTCACTTGTTACATACTAAAAGTAATGCTTTTACCATGTTGAAAGCTTTCATTTCCATGGTGAGAACTCAATTTAACCTCCCTGTTAAAACAGTTAGAAGTGATAATGCCTTAGAAATTGGACTTTTCAATTCTGCCTTATAATACTTCTTAGAGAATGGAATTATTCATCAAACCACTTGTTCTCACACACCTCAACAGAATGAAATTGTTGAGAGAAAGCATAAGCACTTTCTTGAAACAGCTAGAGCTTTGCTGTACCAGTCTAAATTACCAACAAAATTTTGGGGAGACTGCATTTTAACAGCCACCTATTTGGTAAACAGATTTCCCTCCACCATTTTACATAACAAATCTCCATTTGAAGTGTTTTATGGCAAGTTGCCCTCTTATTCACATCTTAAACCTTTTAGATGTCTTTGTTATGCAACTGTACCTAAATCTGAGAGAAATAAGTTTGATCCAAGAGTTGTACCTTGTGTCTTTATTGGTTATCCATTTGCTAAGAAAGGTTATAAGTTGTACAATTTATCCACCAAGTGTATCCTTGTTTCTAGGGATGTCATATTTCATGAATCTACTTTTCCTTTTATGTTATCCTCTTCCTCATCTTCCAGCTACCTTCCATCTTCCATTTCTACACCTATTTCACCTGTTGGATCTGATCTTTCCCATTTTCCTCCTGTTGACACTAATTCTTCCCATTCTCCTTCTGTTGATACATCTTCTCTTGATAATCCACCTTCTGTTGATGTTCCTTCCTCCTCTATACCTTCTGTTTCTCCTCCTGATATAGTCATTCCTTTTGATCTTCCCTCTACTTCTGCTCCTTCAACATCTTCCTCTCTCCCTGCTACTAAACAAAGCACCAGAAATCACACATTACCTTCACATCTTAGTGACTTTGTTGTGCAACTTGCTCCTTCCATTTCAAGCTCCACTACTTTATCTCTCTCTGTTGCACACACAACTCAAGTTGAGCCTCATTCATATTCTCAGGCAGCTATCAGTTTAGTCTGGCAGGAAGCCATGAGAAAAGAATTTGAGGTCTTAGAAGCTAATAACACTTGGTTTATAGTTGAGTTACCTAAGGGTAAGAAGCCTATTGGATGTAAATGGGTGTATAAAATTAAGTACAAAGCTTATGGGAGTGTAGAAAGATATAAGGCAGGATTGGTAGTAAGGAGTGATACACAAATTGAAGGTATTGATTTTAATGGAACATTTTCTCCGATTGTCAAAATGTGTACTATTAGGTGTCTAGTTGCTTTTGCCATTAAAAAGGGTGGTCCTTGTATCAATTGGATGTGAATAATGCATTTCTTCATTGGGAACCTAGATGAGGAAATATATATGAAGCTTCCCCAAGGTCTCACAGTTGCTTTATCTTCTCAATTTACTTTTCCTTTGGTTTGTAAGTTGCAAAAGTCCCTTTATGGGTTAAAACAAGCCTATAGGCAATGGTATGCTAAGTTGTCACAAGCACTTTGCACTAGAGGTTACACACATTCTTTAAACGATTACTCTCTTTTCACCAAAAGGTCCGACTCATCTACTGTGTTTCTTGCTGTCTATGTGGACGACATTATCCTTACTGGGGATGATCCTAAAGAGATCAATGCTCTCAAAATGTTTTTAGATGATCAGTTTAAAATTAAAGACTTAGGATTACTTAACTATTTTATGGGAATTGAGTTGTTATTTGTTGATTCTGGGGTACTTCTTCATCAAAGAAAATTTGTTTCGGAGTTAGTTACTGAATATGGATGTTCTGATGCTTCTCCTGTTTCTTCCCTACTTGAGTTATGTGTTAAACTCAAGTCTGATGTTGGGGTCTTGCTGCCCAACCCTGAGTCTTATAGAAGTTTAGTTGGAAATTTGAATTTTCTCACTCATACCAGGCCGGATTTATGTTTTGCTGTGCAACACTTGAGTCAGTTTCTTAAATCACCTCGTCTGCCCCATTTGACTGCTGCGTTACATGTTCTAAGGTATTTGAAAGGTACACCTGATGTTGGGGTTCACCTCAATGGTTCTTCTGATTTTTCTGTACAAGCCTTTTGTGACAGTGATTGGGCTTCTTGTTCTGATTTGCGGAGATCAGTTTCTGGCTATTGTGTGTTTTTAGGGGGTAGTTTGATTAGCTAGAAATCTAAGAAACAAGCCGTCGTCTCCTTGTCTTCTGCTGAAGCAGAATACCGGGCCATGAGTAAAGTGGTGGCTGAACTAGTCTGGTTGGTTCGTTTGTTAGCAGATTTGGGTATGCCTTTGTCCAGCTCTATTTCTGTTTTCTGTGATAGCTTGGCTTCCCTTCACATCGCTAAAAATCTTGTTTTCCATGAGCGCACGAAACATATTTAAGTTGATTGTCACTTCATCCGCACTAAGTTGGCAGATGGCCTTATTTCTTTACATCATGTTCCTACCTCTTCTCAGCTTGCTGACATCTTAACTAAGTGTTTGACAGGTGCACATCACAGGTTGTTTCTTGGCAAGTTGGGCGTGTTACCACCCTCCAACTTGAGGGGAGGGGGGGTGTTGGAGTTACCTGATGTTAATTATTAGATTTGGGCCTGATGTTAGTTAGTGCATTAAAGTTTGGCACGGTTGTATTTATTAACAGACCCGGCCCAATTTTCTCTCCTAGTTGATTTTCTTTCTGGCCCAATGTAAATAGTAGTTAAGATATTCCTTTGTAATAACTCTTCAGAAGGAATAACGAAAATTCTTTGGAAGCTTCTTCTTTGAACATGAACCCTAGTTTCATTCTTCTCCATTTTCGTTCAATTTACAAACATTAACAAATATATCAGTCCAGCATAATATGCTAGAAGTTCATATACAGGTGCTCCAATCTCTAGTATATTATGCTGGAACTTTCAGTGTTGCAGCAAAATAGTGGCTATTTGTCAATGACTTTGCCAACGCTGGCTATTTTTCAATGACCAGTCCGAAAACTGGCTAGCCGTGCTATTTTTACTTTAAAAAGATTACATCTTGTGTAAATTGCCATTATTTGCTATTTTGGTAAGGAGGTTCTCAGACTAACCTGATGCACCACCCCCAAAAAAGATATTTTATTACAGGCTTCAAGAAGTAAAATTTTTATGTGACAATAGAAAACTTGCAAGGTTTCTCAGTGAGAAGAAATTGCAGAATTAAGCTATTTAATTAGTTGGAAACCGACTTACCAAACTATCTCAAACACCAAACGATTATCTAATAGAAAAAAATTAAGACTCCTCGCCAATATAATGTTGCTTTCTAGATTGTCAAATATCTCCAATAATAAAATCAACTTGCAATTGATAGTGAATTTGCGGTCCCTCTTGCTTCTTGAAATGAAGCATCACGCGCAAACTTAAAAAGTCCCTACTAGTTAAAAAAAAGTAAAGGCGGGCCAAGATTTTAATTTTATATTTTTTAAATCTTAAAATGACGATTTCAAGCGCAAATGACGAGATTATAAATTTAAATATGTTTGCATATCTAATAAATTTCTTAATACACATACATTGTATGACTAAAAGTTATTGAACCATTCTGCCAAATTCGTATATAAGCTTCTATCTTCGCCCTCAAAACGGGGATTGAGAAAATGTAAGTTCTACTCCATTGAACTTGTTCTTTATCCTCCTTAAGCAATCCATATTGGATAAATAAAAAGGAATATAAAGGTGAATATTAATCTCTGGATGTAGAGTAGGGGCTTTTTTTTTTCTCTTTTCAGCTCAACTTTTCATTATTAAATGATGCACACATGCACGCCTGTACTCGATTATTTTGTGTGCCCATATTTTGTACGTACGCCGGCCAAGTTGGCCCCAAACAGTCACTAATTTTCAATTCTTTACAAATGGAACATAGCATGTTGGACCGCCTAGCTTTAACGGGATGGTTGGGATCCCTATATTTTTAATCAGTAATCTCGGATTTTTTTTTAATTCCCTCACCTTTGATTTTCTTTGTTGGAGCTATTGCTCCTTTGGTGACTCGAACCCACGATCCTGAGGTTGTAGGTCGGGGTGCTTACCATCTAAGCTACCCCCTCTTGTCTTAATCTCGGATTTGAGTTTCTAAACAATAAAATGCGCAAATCCAAATTTGTTGTATTAGTTGACTTTCGATATCCAAGAGTTTAATCGAAAAAATAAAAAAGGTAACATGGAATATTTAGGAAAAAAATTTACAGTACAATTTACAAACTCGATAACCTAATCGAGATGATGCGGACATGCACCAATTACACATTTTAATATATGCTGCCATGGGTACCCTATTTGGGCTCGCATATAAAATTTGCTATTACAGTAAAGAAAAGGAGAACCTAGCTACTCTAATTGAAGGGCAAGTTGGTGACCAGATTTATCACCAATCTTGATTCAATCACTCATTTTCTTGATGAGGAGGGGGTTAGTTTTTTTTTTAGGAAAGTAATTAATCAAAACACTACACAAGTTGCACACTAAAAGCAATTTTAACTAGCTTTTAGACACAAATGGTGTGATAAGAAGATCCTATGACTTGGACACGATCATTTGCAGCCAAATTAAGAAGCTTTTTTCTCTCTTTAATGGCTGGATCTTCAAAGAGCAACACTTTGTCTTTGTCTTTCACTCCAACCATGTGCAAATATTCATAATCCTCTCTTTCTTTCCCTCTGTATAATAGCCTTTGCTCCTTTGGTTCTAAACCAGTTACCATTGCCAGTATCATCTTTAATTCTCCTGGATAAAAAAACACACACACACACAATCAGATAAGAAAATTGTATAACCTGACGGGTCACAAATAAGCAACCCAAACTCAAAAACAAAATATAAAAACTTTAGAGATGAAAGGGCTTTGCTTTTCATTTATTTTCTGGTTCTGGTTCTTGTGATGCAGTTATTTTTTCTATGGTTTCTGTTGATGATACTGATATATTGCCTCTTTTTGTCTTCTTGAACCGGGGTCTATTGGAAACAACCTCTTTACTCCTCGGGATAGGGATAAGGTTTGCGTGACTACCCTCTCCATATCCCACTAGCGAGATTTCGCTAGGTCGTTGATGTTGTCGTAATCATCAACTTTCACATTTTTTTTCAAAAAAAGAGAAAGAGAAAAAGAGATTAGTCATGTTGGAGGAGTTAGGTTATGACTTATATTGATATTTGTTGCAACTTGACTCAACTCATTATGCTCAACCAGACTTTTAACGGGTTTAATCATGACCCGTTTATAGATTTGACTCGGTTTAACTCTGATCCACCTATTTACCATTTTTAGCATATAGGAAATTGAACAAAATGGGAAACTTACCAAAAGTGGAGGTTGCTTGAATAGAAATATCATGCCACTTAGAAACAGTAGAAACTCTAAGAGTTATAATTGAATCTCCAGCTTTCTCTGCACATTCTCTCTTTTGAACTAGCATACCTCCTGGACGCAATTCCCATTTAATTTCACCACCAGCTATCTTGGTGTCGCCGCCTGCTGCGGCGGTGGCTGCGGCGGCGCCAGTACTTCCATTCTTCGAATTGCTTCTGAAAAACTTCTTGCACCTCAATTTGATCATTTTTGCTTTTGGCTGCTGCTTCTGAGTTCTGATCACAAGTTTAGAATAGCTTAGTGGGAAAAAGAAAGTGGACGAATTGGCTAGTTATATAGGAGCAGTTGGGGTGGGGGTGGGGGTGAGGGGGGGTGGGGAGTTATGGGGACAAATAGTAAACTGATAAAGACATAAAAGCCACCAAGAGTTACATGCTTAACAATAATTTATTCTACTTAGTTGATAATCATTGCTAACGATAAAGATATGTGGGGGACAAAGACAAAACTGCCCCCGTGTTTACACTAAATCCAAACATTTTAAGTTTAACAATTACTTCCTCCGGTATACTTTAATTAATTTTTTGGTTGTTTTTACGCATATAAAGAAATTCATTTTTAACATTAATTAACAATAAAAATGATCATATTAACCTTAATTTGTTCATTGAAAATATAAGAAATACTCCTTGGCTCTTTAGGCAACTTTAAAAGAAGTTAATTAATTCTTGATATAAAAAAAATTAAATATTGTGAACCATAAAAAAAAGGCAAAAATAAATTAAAGTGGACCGGAGGAAGTACAAATTAAAGCAAATATGCATACTTCTCCATTTCAACGTGTTTCACTTTTTTTTGGTCGGTTTTAAAAATAATATCAGCCTTTTATATTTAGCAATAAGTTTTAAATTTAATATTTTTATTTTACATTTAATGATGGTCTTTTTATAGAAATAACATGTCATGTTTAAGATTACAACATTTTAATGGTATGTTTGATAGTTATTTGTAGGAGTGTTCATAAAAAACCGAAAAACCGAACCAAACCGAAAACCAAACCAAATCGACCAAAAAAATCGATACTTTTTTGTTTGGTTTGGTTTTGGTTTTGAATTTTAAAAACCGATCAAATTTGGCTTGGTTTTGGTTTTAATAAAAAAATAACCGAAAAAACCGAACCAAACCGACTATAGGAGTAGCTATTTCAAATTTATTATTACACCTATATATATGTATATTTTTATACAAGGTTTAAAAAATTTAATGGTAAATGTTAATAGTTTGCACTTTTAGTATAGTTCTTTACTTTTACATTCTAGTTTGATTGGTAGTTTTCTTTTGTTAAGTGTAAGAATCCATCTCGTGTTAAAAATAATATGTTTTTAATTGAGTCCTTAAATTATTCATCACTATTTGATTCAATTATCGTTAATATATCTTGGTAAATAATAGATTTCTCAAAGGTCAATTGATTTGATAGTGTTACGTTCAAAATGTGTTCGTCGGAATATGTGTTTGGTAGTGTATGTCTTATATTTAAGAAAAAACCGACAAATAACCGAAAAAATCGAAAAATCGACAAAACCCGACATAAACCGAATCGAGAAAAAACCGACTTAATTGGTTTGGTTTGGTTCTAATATTTGAAAAATCGACTTACTTGATTTGATTTCTTTTAAGGGAAAAACCGATCCAAACCGAACCATGAACACCCCTAGTTATTTGCACCTTTTGGTTTAAGCCTACAACTCCACAAGAGATTCAAAAATATCTTTTCCATGTTTAAACTTCGTATCACTCAACTTAAGATATATAAAATAAAATCAATCAAAGTATTAATTAACCCATTTTAAATCATAAATATTTTTATTATAGGAGATTCATCTTGCACATGGGTGGGTGGCAGCTTGTGCTTGATTAGCGGGCCTATTTAGACTGACCAAATTACAATCGGTGGGTCATTTTCATTAAACTACTTATAAATAGTGTGTGACTTTTCATGATCAATGCTTTTAATTAACTTCTCTGCAGACATACGTTTAAAGACCCTAATTATTTTGAGACTTTAATTTGGGAAGGTGTAAAATCTAGAGATACACACAATGCCACGCTAGGGAATGTTGACCCCTTTCTCAAGGACATTACCATCGACCTTATCCAATTTGGACATAATATAATGTTTTCCTCTCAGTATATGGTATTTGCCTAAAAACCCGTTTAAATTCGAATTTATGTGAAGAAGTTTCACATTGGAGGGGAAAACGTTACGTAATAAAGGTGATTTCAAATTTTGTTGAACAAGATCAAAGTCTCGGTATTTATTTCACTCAAGATTGGGTCTCTTTACCAGGTGTTCTACCTATGGCTTCAGGAGGTATTCACGTTTGGCATGCCTGCTCTGACGGAGATCTTTGGGGATGATTCCGTACTACAGTTCGGTGGAGGAACTTTAGGACATCCTTGGGGTAGTGCGCCAGGTGCTGTAGCTAATCGAGTAGCTCTAGAGGCATGCATGTGTATAAGCTCGTAATGAAGGATGTGTTTTTCTCCTTGTAAGACTGAGAGAAATAAATAAATATGAAATAAAAAAATAAAAAAAATCAAATCGCACCATCTCTGTAATAGGTAAATGCCTCTTCTTCTCCTGAAGTTGTCGGAATTACTCGTAATAAGATATTGGCTACAATTGAAAAGGTCTACTCAGGGCTCGAACCTAAGAGCCCGTTTGGCCATGAATTTTTTTTCATTTTTTTTCCGAATTTTTTTTTATTCTTTTTTTAAATCAGTGTTTGGCCATAAATTTTATAATTTTCACTTGAAGATGAATTATGGAATTTTTCAAAAATTTGAAAAACTCCAAAAAGTCAGTTTTCAAAATTTTCATATCACTCACAAAAATTCAAAAACAACTTAAAATTATATGCAGCCCAAACACATCTCTAATTTTCAAATACCATTTTCACTTGAAAAAATCTTTCACTTTGTTTTCAAAATTTTACAATTCTTATGTCCAAAAAGTGCCCACTAAAACTTCTGATTAAAGATAAAGGAATACTTACTGCTCAACCTCTAACTCTTATTAGCTGAGAAAATATATAAATCTAGTTAAAATTGTGGAAAACTCGATTAACGCTCTTAACTTGGCTTTCCTTTCTCCTTCCTTTCCGTGTACATTTTGGTCACTTTTGATATTCTATTAAAATAACAGAATTTTCATGTTTCTAAAAAATTTGAAGGAATATAATCTAATTCCACTTACAGTTGGATACAGGTAAGAAGTTGGAGTTGGCTCTAGCTTTTAGATTGCTAAAAGATATCTTAAATGTCAAACGAATTCATATATGTTTGTCTTAACTCGTTAACATTGTCATTTTATCATTTCTTTAATTTCTTTTTTGAAGTTGAATATGGTAGAACTAGGAGTTTGGGTACTTATGATTGGGAGCTTCTAAATTAAGAAATAAGGTAAATTGCATGCCTTTAATTTGGTCTTATATTTGGAATTCGGTGGTTAGCTAATCCTAAGGTATCTTCCCATGTGCGAGAAGAAAGCTATAGCGACAAAATGCACACAATGCTTTGATTCCTTTCTCTAATTAGTTACTCCCTCAACTACCACCAGGCTTTTAGTTTGTACACTTTACAACTTGTTTGTAGGGGTGTTATCTATCCTATTGTATTGTATGGGTACTTTAAATACAATATTTGTTTTGGTTGTTATTTAAATTTTATTGTGTCGTATCATTAAATTTATCATTACGTAACAACGAAATGTGCAACTTTATGTAACGACCGATTTGGTGTCGTCGCGTCGTTACCTTGTCTTTTTCTCTCATCTCACCCTTCATATTATTAAATAATTTTATCTTATCATTTAGCCTATCTTCTATATAATAATTTTACCTCGTATAATAATTTTTTAAATAATATTGCAAGTTTATTTTTCATATTGCTGGTGCGTGATATCATAAAGCGACGACAAACAATACAATCTATCTAAATATTATATTAACCAAACGATACAGTACAATACAATAAACTACGATTCAATACACTACAAAACAATGTGTAACAACCATCCAAACAAGCTTAAGTTCAAAGGAAAAAAAGCCCTCGAGTCTTACATGAGTTTGAGGCAAATCTAGAGCGAGTACAACGAGTTGGAAAAAGTATAACGAGTTGATCACCCATTGAATCTTGAATTTTTTGCTTATTTCGCAGAATATGCATTACTTTGGGCGTAATAACATTCTCTAGCATATTTATACTTATTAGTGCAAATCAGGTCAGTTTTGTGACCTATATGCTACAAATTGAAATTAAAAAAAACACCTATCTTTCTTTCAAAATGAGGATGTCCAAGACATTATCTTCTCATTTTTTAAAGTGCACTAAAAAAAACCCTAAATTTTACTTCAATTTTGATAGGAATTACCCATACTCAAATTAGAAACTTAGCGATACAATGCACCCCTAGTGCGTGACAATTGCTTCAAAAGCAGCATTCAACATAACTTTATCTTTTATTAAAAGATGGAATAGTGGGAAAAAAAAAAAGAGGAAATGTAAGAGTATTATGAGCAGTACGTACATAAATAAATAAATCAAAACAAAACAAAACAAAACGTCTAGTAAATCTGTAGGAGTGGACAACCTCCACATGTTTGTTTGGGCATATGCATGAAATGAAATGAAAAGAATACCATAACAAGAAACATTTGAATCGGTTTTTGAGGAAATTCAGAGGACCCATAATCCCATGTCTGAAAAAGAAGGATTGTTTGTCGGGCCATTATTCGTTCAAATTTTTTGGTTTGGATTTTACAACACAGAGGATGTTGGATCAATAATGTGTCCTTCAATTTGTTTGTATGTTATATTTAACGTCAATGAATAAATGATTTAATGATTTCTTCAACAAGTAGCATCGACGAAATCTTATTGTCTCGTATTTGCATGTTACATGAATAGCAATTTTTTGTTCTTTTGTGGTAATTATTAGTTCCCATCTATTATTGTGAAATGGAACTCGATAATCTAATTAGACAACTTTTAAGTATGATTTGAGATGACATAACCACACAATTAATTAATCTACCAGGTTTCTCTCCAAATATAATTTTGATATTCCCCATGTTCGTGTCGTCCTTTTTGAGCCTGATCTTAATCTATGATATTGATTAAAACAACAAAACTGGAAAGAGAAACTGAATAGCGATTAGTATTTTTTGTTAGCTTAATAATTACCTCCGGTCCACGATAAGTGACAATTTTATCGTCGGCTCACTAAGAAAATACGAACTCCTAGAGGAAAAAAAAATATA